GTTCTTATGACATAGATAATATTGTGATTCCCATGTCATTAGTGGCCCCAGCTAAGTTAGAGAAACTCCAGTATAAGGAAATACTTACTCCAAGGTATGTATACTTACATTTAAATTTTTTCTTTCTTCTTTTTCTTGAATAAACAAATTTTCAGCGTGAAGTTAAAAGTTTAATAGAAGGTGCTCCTCTCCCCCTTCCTTCTACTTGTATAACCATGAAGGAAAAATGGTGAAAGAAACCTTTACAGTACTCATGCTGAAAAAAGTACCATACAATATCACAACTTTACTTCTTACTTTTTATTAATTGGGAATTCCTAAGACTTATTGACTTTATTAGCACACTTTTTTCATTGAGTGGTATTTAGTTAACTGTTATATATATGGCATTAAAAGGTACTTTAGGAATATAAATAATTATATTAACAAATAATCCTTGCTCTTTAAAATGGAAGTTTACAAAAGGTTGCAAAAAGTTCAAAGAAGGCCACGGCCTTTGCATGGGGTATTCACACTGTAAGATAAAACCTGTGACAACAAAAATAAGATCTTTATGTATTGCCAAGTCAGCAATAAACACATTAAATAGATGAGTGGGAAGGTCTGGGAAAACATGAAGGAAAGGAAAGGTAGAGTATGTCCACACAGGGAGACCACAACAAAGGCACATGGACACATGTGCAAGGCTCAGCCAGAGACTGAGGTTTTGTGTAGGGCAACAAAAGAAGTTAGAACCAGACATTGGAGGTCCTTGAAAGCCATATAGACCTGTTTCCTACTGGCAGTGAAGTTCAATTCTTTAGCAACGATGAAAGCAGTTTCTAAGAACCTGAATCTGGTACCAGGAAGAGGTTAGAAAGACACAAGCTGAGTGACAACTACAGTAATTTCCACTGTTCTCTATTATAGCTAATTTCTAATTTTTATTAACAATTTCTTTGAGGTATTAAGAGAACTCAATACTCTAGGAGGTATGAGAATTCCTACAGAGAATCTGTTGATATATTCTATCTACATAAGAAATAACATTTGTTATTTGTGGTTATGATGTTCTATAGCAATAATCATTTTCAATTCACGGTGGTAGGCTAGAGCTGGATGGTTGAACTAATTGTTTAAAATGTAGAGGAATTCTGTGATCCAGTTATTGAACTCGAGAGGCAAGCATGGGAGTCTTCACACAATGAAACTGGCAAATGCTACAAATCAGCATGTTTTTTATTTTGTTTTGTTTTGTTGAGCCAGTTTATTAGCAACTACTGACTTAGAGCTGTTTGAAATTGGTTTGTATCTTCAACAGCTGGAGGATGGTTGTTCTTCAGCCTTTGGATGAATATAATATAGGTGAAGAGGAGGTAAGTTGCCTTTCACTTAAGGGATTTTATATATTGTAAAGTCTGCTTAATTTAATATTTGAGGAACTAAAAGGAAATATAAGCCCTTTAATGTACACTGATTTTTTTTTTCTTTTTACTTATGGAGGTTCTTCATTAAGGATATTAATTTGATTAGAAAAGGTTTTTGTGCAAATCTGACTGCAAAGACAATGTATAAAAAATAAAGAAAAGCCAAATATAAATTATACCGTTTGCTTATTATATTAGTTGTTAAAATATTGTGAATTTATGTGAATCTCTATATTCATTCCCAGTATTAAGTCATATTTTCCTTTATGAGGAGATTGTCTTAATATTCAAGCCTACCATATTCAAAATCTTGGCACAAATTGATTTTGAATTAGAAAAATTTTGGACTTTAGAAAAACAATGTGGTACATGTATCATGTAATACACATAGGGAGTATAAGACAGTTCTCCTAATCAAGTATTAATGTTTCTACATGGAAATACTTATAGAAAGTAGAAAAGCCTCACATTATTTCAGATCAGGCTATGTCACCAAATGAATGAAAATGGATTTTTAAAGATTTTTTGAAATTGCAAGAAAGGGATTATGTAAAATGTATTAATACAAGAACATATTATATAACCAAATTCCAAGTGATGGCCTATAGAAGCAATATTATGTAAGACATTTTGTTTCTGTAACAATCTTTCTATACTCACTGATTGTGTTTTGAACTACCAAAATTTACTTTTTAATGCACTCTTCCCTAGTTCAGAATGATCCTAATCCAGAAAACCCAAATTCTTAAAACACTACAACCAAAAGGAAAAGGCAAAACAAACAAAAAACCACACTACAACCGTCTTAAAACTTCAGATAAGTCATTCATTAAATTAATTCTCATTTATCTCAGTTTAACTTTTCTTTAATATTAATGTTTCTAGAACACTGTACTCCAGAATGGGCAATCAATACAGACTTTTGAATAAAGCTTTAAGAATATTTTATGTAAAATTAAAGTACTATGAGACTATTTATAATCTAGGAAAGTATTCAAACATGACCCAATAATAAAAAAGTTTAAAAAAAAGTTTTTAACTCCCTTTTTTTAGGAATCAGAAGCTCATCTCAACATTTGTTCTCTTGATTTATATTGCATTTATTTTATTTTCTTCCTGTTGTTTTCTTGATGAGGAATTGACACCTATTTCAAAATGTTTCTGATAAAAGCACAACTTTTTATTTCTAATTCCAGATAGAAGATCTTTCTGATGAAGTCTTTTCCTTACGACACAAAAAATATGAAGCAAGAGAACAAGCCAGATGGTCACTATGGGAGCAAAGCAAGTGGCACAGAAGAAACAGCAGGCAAGTGTTATACATTTAAAACCCAAAACCATGGGATCCATGTGGAATCAACAAAAATCCTGTTTGAAGGGAGATCTCTAAATAAGAATATGCTGTATTTGCGCACTAGACGTGAAACACTGCATATTCTAAGCTCACACTCAAAATATATTTGGGCAAAATACACAGTGATGAAATGAGTTTCTGTGTTTTACTACACTTATTTCTCATGCTCATTGTCAGCCTCAGGAATAGCTTTCCTGAGCAAATGTGATAATTCTCCCTAGAAAACGAGGTCATTTCAGTGTGCTGTAATAGTGGACCTAACACTATTAGAATCTGGTACTCATTTTAACATAACTATTTCAAAAGTTTTTCTTAAAACTCAAGGAAACTATCCAGTCTAAAAAGCAAATATTCTAAATATTTTAAACATGACTTTGAGGGAAAGGGGAATAAATCCTGAAACATCATTAGTAATTATATATTTGAGAAAATCTCTGGTATTTTATATTTACATTTGACTATTTTTTAATGTAGCCAAAAACTTAAAAAGCAAAACCGTGTGAAGTCTAGTAGTCACTTCAGTGTAGGGGGCATCTCTCATTTAGTTAGCACTGTTAAAACACATTTCTCTGTCTGGGTCTCAAGATATCCAGATTTGTTGTATATCCTTATTCCGAAAGTTATCCCAACATATATGAGATTTCTCATCTTTCTGCACATTCCAGAGATTTAACTTTCCAGAAGAACAGAAGAAAATGTGAATCAAGTCCTTCACAGATGACATTACAATAATCATAGACTACTCTGGAAACTCTATATTAGGGCCAAGTAACTGCCTTTTCTTGGTTTTCCAAGAGGAAAAATAAAAAAAAAAAGACAAGCCAAAAAACAAAACCAAAAACATTATACTTTGGCAAAAGACTTCATAAAATACAATTTAAAAGTCCATAAAATATAACTTAAGAGTCCTTGAGATATGAAGATAATACCATCAGGAAGATCAGCAGATGAATTTTTAAAAATCTTTTGGGCAGGGCTCTAAAGAAGAGCTACGAAGTTAAATTGATTTAGTGACACCTTGGTTTCATAAAATGTTAAGACTCAAGAAATATTTTCTTGATTTTCTTGCCAGAGCTTACAGTAAAAATGCTGAAGGACAGGACCTGCTTGTGAAGGAATACCCTAATGACTTTAGCGGTGGTCAGCACTGTGCTGCTGTAAGTCTTCAGAGCCAAGATCTGAGTGCACACGGTTCACCTTCATTAAATGAAAGTCAAGAAATCAAGGTAAGTGTAATCTTGACTAGTTAAGCTTTTAACTGCCTCTTATCCTTTTAAATACTTGTTTGTAGAAATTCCTTGTTGCAAATTAAGGATTTGTCATTACATAACAAATTCAGTATGATAATCCAGTACGTAATGCTGGGTATGAATCAGGATCTGTATTCCAACATTCTAGTTCCATACTAACTACAAACACTTTACCTTTTTTATGCAACGTGTCAGTACTTAATTCCACCTACTCGTTTATCAGTTAGGAAATGGGGATTCTATCAGTTTCATTACAAAACAAATCTGATTAATGAAAATAGCACCTGGCACATTGTGAATGTTAGCTGCTATTTCCCTTCTTCTTATAAGAGATTTTTACTTGCCACCCCATAGTTCTAACTTCAAGGGGAGTGTTTTCTAAGAAGACATATATAAAGTTCTTACTTTTTTCTTCATAAGCAGGTACTGGAAAAGAATATCTAGAATGGAGAGAGTGGAGCCTACGGATATTAATAGCCAAGTTATAGAAAGCTCAGAGAAGGAAAAGTCAATAGGTATCTGTTAAAATGGGATGCAAATGGAGATACTGAAGTGAGAGGTAGAAGATCAAAACACCTTTAAAGGGGCTTTCCCAAAGTGCTCCTAGGCTGAAAACGAAGACTAGTGCCCTGTAGTGTTTCCTCTTCATGGAAGAGGCAGAGTAAACAATTCCCAAAGGTCTCTAAACAATTTTGAGTTGGTACATATGTAAGTCCAAATAAAAATTTGTATGTGTTAAAGAACAAAACAATAGTTACAACAAAACTGACATATATAGATTACTTGACACATTGATTTAAACAAATTAGTTGAAACTGAGCTGAACATGTTTTCCCTTTCAGTCTCTGTGGTGGGAACGACGGACTTTTCCATTGAAGGATGAACACACAGAAGCCTTATTAGGCCAAAATGAAAAAAACAATCAGACTGAAAGATCAAGCCCAGCTTTCAATGGTGAAATCTTCTGTACCAATGTACCAGATAACAGCCGCCATCCAAAAAGGCAGGCAGATGGAATGGAAGAATACAAAACCTTTGCTCTAGGACTTACTCATGATAAAAAAAACAGGTGACAGGAAACAGGTTAAGAAAACTGTGTAATTGAATGGAAAAGAGGAGAAAAAATAAGCCCTGTTCTCCAACTCCCAATCCCTCCAGTCACAATTCCAGAGTTAAGAGCATGTACTGCACGTATTAATCTTTTATGCGATTTATGCAACAGGCAAGGTATGTCTTTTTCCTTCTTGAACCACAGGGGTTAACTACCTAGCTTTTCACTTACAGACAAGTGCTAGTCATTTGTTTATGATGCAAATCACAAGCACCAAAAAATTAACTGCTGCAATTTGATTTCAAATCATATTACTGGGTAAATAATTTTTAAGATTTTTACACCCATGCATATATACATACATATACACACACACACGCACACACACACGCATAGTTTAAAAAAAAACTGTAGTGACCACTCCACTTAAAAATGCATGTATGAACTACCCCCATGAAATGTAAGCTGCATTACAAATACAGAAGCACAGGTTTCCAATGATAATGGACACCTAAAGGCTTGACTATGGAGAGGGAAGTTTTTAAAAAACATGTTTAACCAATAGAAGTTATTTATGGAAATTTCTATACCAGATAACACAATATTCCTTTATTTGAATCACTGATATCTGTTGGACTAAACATAGGTTATTTTCTATGCACTCCTAATAGAATAAGAAGCAAAGTAGAATTAAATGTTGGTGTTTTCTAAAACTCACAATTTTTAAACTCAACTTGAGTTTTTATCTATTTTATGTATCTCATGGAGAGAGAAGACATCAACTTAAAATGAACAACAGGAAAAGTCCTGTCAGTATAAAAAATATTGTTGTATTTCTAGTTAATTTGGTCATTCCTTACCATAGCTTATTCTACTCAAATAAGCATCTTCTTACTTGTATCCTAGAATGAGAATTAAAACTTTTCAAAGGATAATTCTTCAATATTGGATACTGGAGTGTACATTAAGGAAAATTCCTTTTGAAGCTATTACATTATTTTTTTTTCTATGGAAAAGTTGAGGACAATTTATATGAATCGCTTTTTCTCATGTAAAAAAGGTTATTCAAGTTGTAGGACCCACGTTAACTGACAATCCTGGCATCTGGCCTAGCCTCGGGATGACATTAAATTTTTGTTAGGGATTGGAAATTATGCTAGTCCCTTTAGAGAAGGAAAAAAATTCAAATTCAATACTGACAAATTTTTGCTTGTAGTTTTACTGTACATTTATTTTTTTAAAAAGAAAACAAAAGCCAGACAAACCCAAGTTGTCCAGGCAAATAAACTCAAATCTTTCTGTCATGTCTGATATTATAATCTTCTATGTAAGTTTTTTAATTAAAGTTATTTCTATATACCTTGTGTTGTCTGATTTGATTAAACACCACCTATTCATAATACAAAACTTTCCTAAACAAGCTAAAATAAACACAATTAAGAAACAAATTTTTACCTTGTAATGTAGAAAAAAACCAAGCAGCTCTACTCCAAGCTTGTGTTAATGTTCTTATTTTTCAAATCATATTTCTTAAAACTTATAATAGCCTAAAGAAGTTTAATGACACTGGTCATGTTACTTCTTGCCATATCTATTACATAGCAAGAGTATTTACAATAATAAAATGGCTGACACATTTGTTGTCAAAGTACAATCTGGGACGCAATTTAAATATTTAGTTTATGGATTAACTCTGTACCTTGTCACCTCTTAGCCTACCTGATCCATCTTAGATTAATAAAATATGTATCCTCAGGGTCAAAATCCATAGTTCCAAAATATCCTCAGCCACCTGGTTCTGCTACAGAATAAAGTTAGACTGGAAATAAGACAATGTTAAATAAAAGCAGCTTCATTTACCTAATCCACTCCCAAGGCCTCCATTTGTAAAGAGTACAGACCAGAAATCCTATGCCCTACAGGACCCTTTCCATGCTATCAGCCTGCTTGTTGTATCTTCATTTTTTAAATGGGGACAAAAATACCCGTCCTACCACTCATAGGAGTGACTTGATTTAATGAGATTATATCAAAGTACTTTATAACCTACAAAACATAAACTTAATGATAGCTTTATACTGAGCATCCTCAAAATTCTACTATCCTACAATTCTAAGAGTAGAAGCTTTACATACATAATAGTATCTCTTTTAATGCTCAATACAACTCTGCACAGTTGTTATAATTACATTCAATGTATAAATCAGTTAATAGCTCAAAAAAGTTAGTTGATTTGATTTGCCAAGATCAAATACTTACAAAGGGGAAGAGGCAAGATTCAACTCGATTTTACTTCCAAATAGAAACTTTTCTTTCCATTCTGCTCACAGCTAGCACAACATTATTTCACGTCCTTAAGCATGGTGGGTGTGATTAAGAACAAGGTGAGGTGGTGGGGGAAAGCACTGAATAACCTACCCATGCAGCAAAGCTAACAAAGAAAACACCCTGATAAAATCTATGCTTGTATATTAGAACCAACCACCTGAAAATCTCTGGACTTTGTCCATTGTTTTTATATCAAATATAAGGTGCAAAGTAACAAATAGGTGTTTAGGAACAAGAAAAATATGGTATGCCATCCCAGCCACATTCAAACTTAGATTTTTCATAAGTTCCATTCTATTCGTCAAAAATGACATTAAACAGGAAAAACATAAGGACTTTCCTGCTTTTAGGAAACAGCCAAGAAACAACAGTCTTTTTAGAAATGGAGAAAAAACATTTTTTTTTCATAGCTAATATGCATGCCTTCCTTAGGCATTCAGACACACCGTAATACAGCCATATTACTCTTTATAAAAATCAAGTTTCCCAGTAAAAATGGTATTTTATCACACTAATCTTTAAATTCCATCACTAAAAAAGTAACAATACACACCAATTTCCAACCTCTTGGAACATTCTGCAAAATAGATGTTAGTCACTGGAATGAATAATTGCTCAGAAAAGCAGCACTTCCTCAATTGTGATAGGATTTGGTAGTCAATATTCTCGTTTTCCAGTAAAAAGACTTCATGACCAGAAACATTTAACTCCTTGTTTTCATCGATCAAGAGAGCGTTTTTGAGCAGCTTCAGAGCAAACATTTCTTAACAGGTTGATCACAGATCTGGGGTCTTCACTCCTCATAATGGCACTGCCAGACACAATCATGTTAGCTCCTGCCTGGAAGAAGTAAACAACTTAGGTTATGCCTCAAAGGAAGATGCAGAAAAGCCTAAAACCATCCGTGGAATAGAGTTCTACTCTTGTATCTGTCAGTCAGCCCTTTAACTGTATAAAAGCCACTTTGAGAGGAACAGATTTAAACAATCTGGTTTAATGAAGAAAGAAGTTATAATGCTTAACAAATGAGGATGTGAAATTATTTTTAGATGTGTCTAAAAAAACACTGACTTTTTTTGTAATCACCCTAAATAAGTTATACTGCATCTTTGCTAATATTTAGGTAAGGTTTAAAAACCTTTCATCCTCAACTCTATTAAGATTTTTCTAATATATACCAATGACTCCTGAGCTACTAAAAAAAATCCTATCATTTAATTTTGAATTATGTATATGAATTGGTAGTCTAAAAAGGCAATTATTGCTAAAATGTGAAACTATCCATAAAATATGGCAACATTAAATATTAATTTCTCATTTTGATGCCAGAATGAGATGTCTTTTTACTTATGCTTCATTGCATTCCAGAATGGTTTTGAGGTGGCTTAACAATTTTCAAGATATTTCTAAATGTGAAAACAAAAGAAATTAAAGAAAAGCAAATAACTCAAGTCCAAATTTATCTCTAAGTTTCCTAGGATTTGACTCAAGGAGAGAAACCCTATCTGTTATATGATTCACTACCAGAAGGGGGACTATTGGAAGAACCACTAAAGCTGAGGAAAATGTCTCCATGAGACACTGTCACTCAATGATATAATGTACTACATCTCTAACAATATTCCACATAAAAATGAAAAAAAAAATAGTTTTATAGAGTTACAACTTAACACATCTCTTAATGTAAGCAGGAACAGCATAAGGGCACAGATCAGTAAAAAGAATTCCGCAATGGGTCAAAGGATATGTATGCTCACAAATCATTTGACCAGCTCCTCTTCCATAAATATTTATCATTCAAGTTTCTGATAAGTATAAAGCAGAAAAGTGAGGCATTTATTAAAAAAAAACAAAAAACCTAGAAGTACAGATTATATACCATGTTGCTTAGCAAAAACAGGCCGCATGCGCTTTAATCACCTGCAGTGCTACAGGAAGGTCTGGCGCCCTCTCAGCGAAGCTTAGGAGTGCCATTTACCTCGGCTAACTACTTGGAAAAACTCATCCCACACTACTTGGAAAAACTCATCTACATAGTGTGTTAGAGGTATCCAGAGATGAGATCAAGAATTTCATCGGAAATGGCTCTTGTGAGTTCTTACAAGGAACAAATAGGTAACTAATACATCTCTAAGTTCTAAAGAATAAGATTCTTTTCCCCTTTATAAGAAGGTAAGTTTTCTTTCCCTCTTTGGAAAAATGACTCATTCCAAAGCCATGGAGCTTAATAATCTTCTAAAGGCTGGCATTCTGCATATTCTTTTTCAAAAAGAACTTTCTTCAGTATTACTCAGATAACTGAACTTACTATCTAATGATTATGTGATTTTTAGAATATTCACTCACTGGTCTCTATTCTCCTAGTTCCTACATTCAAACAAAAAATACTTCTCCAAGAAAGAAAGGCAATTTAGGAAATGTAGGGGTAATCTCTTTGGCCCACAAGACAATGTCCTGGACATTACATCTGATGGGAAATTGGGCTAGGTCATAGTTGAGGAGCAGTCTCACCTCTGCACATTTATGGATTGTGTCAGGACCCACTCCACCATCGACCTCTATATCCAAAGACGGGAACTGGGTCCTCAACCAATGAACCTAGGCATACACAAGGACATAAATAACTCCTAAAGTGAGTATCTTGGGGGGAAGGGAACAACAATCAAATAAACAAAAAGACAAATAGCCAATATCTGCCTCTAAAATAGAACTCCAAATGTCTCATCACATAAGTTTACATGAATAAATTATGACTTGGGAAACTTCCTTTTTAATATACTGAAACCGATTAAGTTTTATAAGCTTTGTTCAGTTTGGTAAATGGCAATTTGCCCTGGCTTTACATAGACTATATTTCTTGGAAACAAGACAAAGACAAAACCCTCAATATTCAATGAAAACCCCCCAAGCTCTAAAGGCTAGAGAGATAGTGGATTTGAAAGAAAATTTCAAGATTAAGATGTACTATCTTCTCTAATTTCCAAATCAAAATCTCTTACAGCATTTATCATACTGTATTACAATGATCTGTAAGCATTTCCATCTCCCCGCTTTCAGAACAGGATGTGTCTAAATATGCAAGTGGTTCAATATATGCTTACTGAATGAACATACACAATAAAAGCCTCACCCCAGAATAAAATATTTCTTTTACCTTTGGCATCATATCTTCCATGAATTTCTGCCCTCCAAACCCAGGTTCCACTGTCATAACCAAGGCCATATCTATCTGATTAGCCCACGGTGCCAAATACTCAACTGTAGTTCCTGGTTTGATGGCAAGGCCAACCTGTGACAGAGAGAAATTTGCTACATCACATTAATAATTACTTCCACATTATATTATTGTGGTGTATCAGGTTCAATAGAAATGTCTATTCTTAAGTAATACTCAAAAAAATTATTACACATTATTATACTTACACAAAAAGTAAGTTATACTTAACCTCTGGTTTTCTAGCTGAAGAACAGCTGCCTAAGTCAGGTCTTATCTGCCTATCATTTCCTGTCTTCCACCAAATCTTCCTATAGTATAAAACACTACTGTCACTGCTGACCTCACCTTCATCCCATTCTCCCGAATGTCTTTAATCAAAGCCCCTGGGTTCTCAGTAGCTTCGAGATGAAACGTATATTGATTGGCTCCTGCTACAGCCATTGGCTTTACCCACTGTTCCGGCCTCGACACCATCATGTGCATGTCTAGAAAGAAAAGACACATCTCTTAAATACTATTGAAAGGAAAATACCTGGCTCATATTATTGAAGTCTACTGTTTTTGATACTGCACATATACTCTTCTGATATCAAAATAATTGTTAAATAGTTACTCTTCTGTATAGCTAGCCTTTTATCCTGAAGATAAGGTTTTGATTTAACTCATTTACAAAAAGGATATATATGTATTTTTCCACAATAAGCATATTTCGTTGTATATGAAAAGTAATGACTAGAAATCAGGAAACCTAGGTCCAAGTCCAGGAAATGCCATGCTAAAAAATTTGAAAAAGTCATTATCTATGGAGACTTGCATCCTCATCTATAAAATAAGAAAGCTAAATAAACTGATTCTCTTCACAAATATTTTATTGAGCATTTGCCACACCATTAACTAATCTAGGTCCTAGAAACAGAGCAAAGACAGGCAGAAATCTCTGCTGTCATGGGGATTACATTTAGTCTGAGAGACGAACCATAAAAAGATAAGTAAATACAACAAACACTAGGATGGTAGTTAATAAGATCAGTGAGGCATAGGATGAAGCAGTTCAGGTTTCATTCCAAATGAGACAGGGAAAACACTGCAGGATTTTGCGTGTGGAAGTGGCAAGATCTGACTTAGAAGGCCATAGCAACAATCTAGGTAAGGAAGGATGATGGCAGCAGAAGATGGGAGGAAGTGGTGGGATTCTGGGTATGTTCTGAAAGTAGAACCAAAAGGAGTTGCTGTGGATCAGATGCGGAGGGTGTGAGGTGAGTCAGGATGGTACAAGGACTGGGGCCTGAGTAACCAGAACACACCTACCTTCATCTGAGAGGCAGAAAACTACAGGAGGAGGAATGGATTGAGGGGGAAGGACATGTTAATAGAAGAAGTCTGACATGCATCCTAATTCTAAAGCTTGAATCATATAAATGTTGGCTAAAATGGGCATGAGCTTCTTGAAGATCATGACTTAAAACACAATAACCTTTAAGGAGAAGCAGAGGGCAGCTTAAAAGAGGCTAAATCAAGAAATAACCGTTGTGAAGAAGGAAAACAGTAAATACTCCTGTGTCAGATGACGATAGTGAAAGAGCTTTGAGTTGTTTATTTTGCTAAAGGAAGCATATTTCTGAAATAGCTGAACTACATTAAAGAAAAAAAATTCTAGTATCAGAACTCAAGTAAGATGATAAAATATAGTAAGGCTTTGAAAAAAATGTCAGGAAAAAGAGTATACCACTTGACTAATGAAGCCAAGATTAAAGCTTATATTTCTAAACTAACGAAGGTCACAAAAATAGAATATGTTAAAAGATATATTCTTTTGTGTTTCTTATTTCTTTGTATTATAAACAAGGAAAATTCAATATGCTTTAAAATATCTAGTTTACTCATTCCTTAAGTTACCAGACTGCTATGTCATTCAATCTTTAGCATGCAGTAACCACTAGCACCTTCACTGGAGACTCTCTAGTGTTCAGGGAGTGAATGGTTCAGTGAATTTGCCTGTAGTGAGCATACTAAGTGAGCAATTCTCAACTGTTCTATTATCATGCTTCCCTTATTTACATTCTTTAAAATTACTGAAGACTCCCAAAAATGGTGTTAATGTGGGTTATATGTTTATTAGTATTTACTGTATTAAATTCAATTTAAGAAAAAATTAAAGTCTACTTTTTGGTCCACTTTAAAAAATAATAGTAATAATAAACCTATTATATGTTAATGACGAGTGGCATTATTCTATATTTTTGTGAGTCTCTAATGTCTGGCTTAACAGAAGACATCTGTATTCTCACAGGTGCTCTGCATTAGATCTATTGCAATATGTTGTTTTATATGAAAGAAGAAAATTACATGAAAAAGGGGGAATACATTGTCTTCTCAGACAAGTGTGGATATTCCTCTATTTCTAGACCAAAACTTGACAAGTGGTACTTTTATAAAGGTTAGCTTCCATGTGGAATCTGTAAATTCTACCAGTGAACTTTTTGTACTTTTTTTACACTAAAACCCATCGGTCTATCTTATACTTTGAATGGATCTTTTAAGTACTAGTTCACTGAATTACATAGGTCTTCTAAATAGTGACGCATTTCAGTATATACTATTAAAAAATCACATATTATAGCACTACAGATCTTAACAAAAAAGCTCTAAGTGCTATGAATCTGTCAAGCTCACAGCAGTAGATACACATTTTCCAAAATTCTAATCTTCACTTGCAAGCTCTATCAGTGGCAACAAAAACTAATTAGTATTTTCCTTGAAGTGAAGGCTAACTTACTGTTAAAGAAAATGTCAGTAAAATACCCAAGTCTGATAACCATAGTTTTTCCATTAGTTGTACTTTCAAGTGAAAATAGTGTTCATAAAAAAGCAGCTAGTTTAGTTCATAACTCAAACAATGGTGCCAGTGGTTTCTCTTGAGAAAACCATCAGCCTCCAGCATGCAGCAGAGATGATTTATATGTACTTCCCACTTTGTCACAAAAAGTATTAAAAAGACATGCATTCCAGGATCAAGATTTACTAAAATCAGTAATTTGCACTGTGTCATCAAGGATACTATGAACAAACCACAATGAAGAATGCAATGACTACTTATATAGTTCAATACCATTGCCTTTACTTGGGCTGGGGCACCAGCAGATTATAACTCATTAGCAGTATTGCATACAACTTGTAATTTGGTTCCTAAAATATATTCATGTATCGATTATGCAACAACTACAGCCAAGAATTAAACAAACAAAATGCTTCTTAATATAAAAAGAAGACACAAAGCCCAAACATTAAAGCACGTGGAGTCCATCCATCTTTATTTTAGACACGCTTCTAGAAAGACTGATGAGCAAGTTTACCAGCAAATAAACTAAACGCAGGTAGAGAAAGCAGATTGTGTGTGGTAATAGCAGTAGAGCTGGTAAGAGGAGAGGCACTGATAGTAGGGGACACAAATAGCAGTGAGGAGTTGACACTAGGAACCCAAATAAAAGGGAGAGAAAAGAAAAAAAATATGTTTTTAAATCCACACCGAGCCAGAAGTAGAGGACTCTATGACTACTCTACAGTTGGGGCAAACAATGCTATTTATTTCAGCCACCTCTGAGTTATAAGAACAAATTTATATTGGATAACTCATTTTCCAAAATGTAGTAAAAAAAAAAAAGTTTAAATAATCAGAGAATTATATTCCATCATTTGGAAATTTCAAAATGGTGAACATGCTGGTGGAACACTATTACCCTCACGACACGTAAATTAGGTGATAATGTACATTTTCTTTGGTGCAAAGTGGATGAATACTATAGACAGGCTATGTCCAACAGAACTTTCTACAATAATGGCAATGTTCCATAGTAGCACTACTATACAGTAGTCACTAACCACATATGGCTACTGAGAACTTGCAATATGGTTAATTTTACTTAGAAACTAATGCACAAAGAGTTGGCAAGTGAGGCACTGGTAATTTAGTTTATTTTTTTATTTTTAAAATTTTTTTAGGTGGCGCAACCCTTGGTTGACCTGATAGATTGCAAAGACCTTGTCGGCTTACAATCCTTATTTTTTACGCCTATAGCACCTAGTGTTCCTGGGTGTTCCTGTTCCCATCCAAGTACTAACCGGCCGACCCTGCTTAACTTCCGAGATCAGATGGGATCTAATTTAGTTTAAAAGAACGACATGTGAACTAATTAATGTCCCATGAAAAGTAACTTTTAGGTTATTATGTGATCTTAATCCACATTATCTTACAACAATGAAGTCGGAAAATGTATAGGCCCCACCTGCAGAAAGCTCCAATTTGCATGAAATTGGCTTCTACACCATAAATCAATCAATTCATACATTCCTTTAATAATTACATTGAGCCCCAATCCTGTGTCTATGTTCAGCTCTAGGAAAACCATGGTAAAGTAGATAAAATTTATGCTCTCATGGAATTTATAGTCTGACAAAATAACCTCAGATTGAAGAAGTTCTAAAAAGAAAAATCAAAAGGTGATATAACTGCATAGTTAATATAAGATAGGGTGCTTAGAGAGGCCTCTCTGAGGAAATGACAAATGATCTGAGGCCAAAAGATGAGGCAGAGCTAGCCAAGTGAATAGTTTTCTAGACAAAGAGATTAGCAAAAGTGCCAAGGCCCTGAGTCAAAAAGAGTTCAGCTTATTATAAGCAGCCAATAAAGCCCCAGCACAGAGAGAGAGGGTAAAAGGGTTCTAGATAAAAATGGAAGTTGAGAAATCAACCATCTATTTTCCCTTTACTTGAGGAACACATCTAGCTTCAGATGGCATAACACCCACTTACCAAAGAAAGGGTCCTGGCCTAGCTGCTTTCGAAGGCTTTCTACCACAGGGTGACCAAAGGTGATGTTGGGAACAAAATGCCTACAAGACAAACAAAATCTTACTCTGAAAATGTTTTCAATTAGTTTCGGTATTTTTCTCAATATGTATTGTGATGGGGGTAGATGGGATTGTTTCTGATTGCACTATTTTTCAATTTAATATTTAACATCAGTATTAAACGATACTAAAAATATCTGGATAATTTTGGCTTTATAAAGCAGTTATCTCCTTAATATTTGAACAAATCATAATGACACATGATTGAACTCTATAATTCACAATCATTGACAAGCAGAAATGGAAAGACGACAAAATCAAAACCCCAGAAGTTGTATGACTTGCCCAAGTCACATACCAGTAAAGAAGTTCTGGACTCTAGTTAATATGGGTTTTTCAAATCCTAGTTTGTCACAGGCTGCCTGTGGCTACTTTCAATCCACCTCTATCACAGGACACTAAATGACAATTTAAACTTTCTTAAAGACTGTCAATAAAGAAGCTTATTGTGTGTATTAAAAACCACCATTTACTGAGGGTTTACAATATGCTAGGTATTGTACCTTATAATTCCTTTCATCTTCACAACAGCCTTTTGAAGCAGATGTATTATTACATAAAGAGCAAAGGATAAATAACTTCCCTAAGTCAACCAGTTAATTATTTGTGGGGGCAGGATTCAAATTAAGTCTTCGAGGTATCAGACTCAAAGTACTTAACTGTTATCCTACTCCAGTTAGTCCTTGTGTTCTATCAAGTACCATGCTAGGTACTTCAGAGAGGATTGTATTTTATTTAAAAACTATGCGAGAGTTTTTGCTTAGCTCAGAAAAGATTACAATCTCATTTGGAAGAGATGCCTAATGACTCACCAGAATTCATGTACTACTGTTATAGTATAGTTGTTGGCACGAAGCCAATGCAGCAAAGGACCACATTTCCCAACACCCGCTATATCCATGTGACTAGTCCTCGTCAATGGACAGTGAGATTAAAGTGAGGTGTGTCACTGCAGAGCTCAGTAGGTTAAGTGGTATTCCTTTTCTGCTCTCATACAGGATGGAAAGGATCTATGACCCTGAATTTCTGCATGGAGGGATATTCACACTGAACTATTTGTTTTATGGATAAGAAATAAACTTCATAATGTTAAGCCACTAAAATCTGGGCTTTACTTGTTAAAGTAACAGGTATTAACCTATATGAGGATTGCAAGAAAAGATACACAACAAGTAGGCAAATATGAAGTAAAATGGTTCCATAGGCAAGCAGTATTGCACTTTAAAAGAGGGGGGAAGATCACGAGATTTACAGAACAAAAGGATTTGTACAGGTGGGAAAAGAAATTAAGCAAAGGCAGAAATAAGCAAGTTATAGTCGAAGAAAGGGGAAGATGGTGTTGACTAGCTTGGCTAATGTGAAAAAGGGAGAAAGCAGACTGTGTGTCACAGTAAGGGTATCAAATGCCAGGCTCAGTGTTTGGACTTTATCTTGCTGTAAATATAAAGTGAGATTTTAAACCAAGAAGCAAATAAAAAATAAGATGCAAATAATAAGGTAGGAAAATGGACTGTGCAGTAAATTGAAAACAGGAGGGAAGAGGTGTTGGCAAATGGCAAGGAACAGTAAGAATGGAAACGAGGACAGGTATAAGTGATTGGATTTGTTAATTGACGAGATGTGGGGAGTTGAAGGAGAGAATAAACCATTTTTAAGATTTTAAGCTTAGACAAGCAGAATGTGTGTTAATAAAAAATTAAAATTTATATAGGTTAAGCATCATTCTAAAACACTTTCCATGTTAACTCATTAAAAACTCACAACAACTCTATGAGCTAAGTAGTACATTAACTGTATTCTACAAATGAGGAAAAGAGCCCAGGGTCACATAACCAGACAGCGCTGGAGGCAGGCGTTAAATGCAGGCAACCGGGCTCCAAAGTCCAAGCTCTTTACTATGCTAACCTCCCTCTCCACCAACAAACTAATAATTAACAGAAAAATAAAGTCCAGGTGAGGGTAACAGACAAGAGAGAGGGGGGTCAGGATTCAGGACACATCTGAAAGGGACTGATAAGGTGGATGGGTACACTTTTACTCATGGGCAAACTGGCCCTTGGAGATTGGGTTTTAGTATTTAGGAAATCATTCTACCTTTTGCCTAAGAACAATGACAGCTAGGGTAACAGGTAAGAGGCTTGTTATGTTTACTTACAACTTGGAAGTAAGGGTCAGAGAAGCAGGCAATGAGGCTTATAGAATATTATACAACTCTGGAATTGAAAGATTTATATTTCATTCACTATTCTTTTAATTTTTTGTGTGGCTTTAGAAGTATAAGCATACCTTGTTTTGTTGTGCTTTGCTTTATTGTACTCAATAGGTGTTGCCTTTTTTTTTTTTTTTAAAACAAACTGAAGGCAAGACCCTCCACCAGAAAAAAAAATGACTCGCTATACTTTGATACTCACTTTATTATGGTGGTCTGGAACAGAACCACAGAATCTTCAAGGTATGCCTGTACTTTTTTGTCTCAAATTTAGGTTTCATTTGTTATGAAAATAAACATAATCAAAAAATAAACTTCATAGCTTGAGAAAATAATACACTTTTAATTTCATTGGTAAACAAGCAGATTATATAAAGCTACTGACCCCCAAAATATAACAAATTGTGCTACTGAAGATCAATTCAATGCACTAGGTGCACCAAGCACACTGGGAGAACAAAAATGCACCAATATACTCAGAAGAAACCAAAAGTTATAGCTAAGCCATAATTTTAAAAAGGCTACAAACCCAGGCATGAAGTCGGGGTGACCCCAAATTTGCCTGACAACAGTAACCATGGGAGCTTAGAACAAAAGGATTTACAGGCTCTACTCCAAGCCTACTGACACCAAACAGGACCTGAGAATCTAGTCTTAACAAGTGCCTAGCTTGGAAAACACTAAATTATTTCACTCTAATGAAGAGACATTTTAAAAATTATTTTACTCTAAAGAAAAACTTAAGCAAGTAAGTCAGCTTTGTTATTACATTACTCTTTCTTTTTTCTTGAAGGTAACTTTTGGGAGTAAAGTCTGCAAAATATAAATGCAATAAAAAAGCCTCCTTTTTGTCCAGAGAACTTACTAAAACTAAACTACAATTATTTATAACACAGGGATACACTTATTTTATCTTTCATCATCTTCCATCATCAACCCTAAGCTTTGTTTAGAATTGTCCTGTAATCTATTTCAGCCAAATCAGACCTTTATCAGATCCCCAACAAGGCAAAGAGTGATATAAAATGTCACACTGTAACCAGAAAACACTTCCTGTGAATTAGAAATCACAAACTCATGCCTACAAGGGTTGGCAAGTATCATGGAAGAGCAAAACAGCATAGATAGAGACAGGAGAGAAATGAAGAACATATAGCCTAGCTAATGGTGGCTGCCATTCAGCTCCAGACTGGCATTGTGAAACGGTGGGCCCAGTACTGGCAAATCTTTGGATGTTTTTCACGTCAAAAATCTAGTACTAACGTGAAATCTCTCCAATTTTAAATCCTGGTAACTAATTTAGAAATTGCTCATTTGCTCTATTTCCACACGAAGGACCAACACACTTCCAGTCACTGTCCTGTCATGACACATTTATATGCTTTCCAATTTTCTTTTCCACTTGTCCTTTGTTTCAAATATCTAATCATACTAGTAACCCCTGCCAACAGTGTTCCCATAACTTGTTCCTAAGATGAAGACATTCAATTTTAATAAGGAGGGAAACAGGAGCCTCAATGGGAGAGTAGGGGACCAGAAAACAAGGACATCCAAACTCAGTGTAATATTGAAGATTTTTAAAGGGGGCCAGGAAAGAAAAAAGCATGGAGGCACTACCCAGAGCAAAAATAAACTGTGGTTGGCCACCTCGAGAAAGGTAATCCACACCCCTGCTTTCGTAACCCTGGCCTAAGAGACACTGCAGCTCAGCCTGGCTCTACCTCTTCTGGTGGGACACTCAGGAAGTGGCTGAACCTCCCTAAGCTGATTTCCTCCTTTGCAAAAGGGGAATAAAAATAGCTCTTAGCTCAAAAAATTGTGATACTTAAAAGGGAAAAGATTTTAAAATGGTGTACGTAGAATTTAGTATTTTTCAAATCAAGATATTTCTTGGCAAAGGGGGAAAGGAGTCAATAAAAAATACTTTTCAAAATGGATTAAAGATATAAATTTAAGACCCCAAACAATAAAACTCCTACAAGAAAACATAGGCTATGAACTTTCTGACATTGCTTAGTGATATTTTTCCTGATATATCTTCTTGGGCAAGAAAAGCAAATGGGACTACAATCAAACTAAAGAGTTTTTGTACAGCAAAGGAAACCATCAGCAAAATGAAAAGACAGCTTACTGAATGAAAAAAGTATTTGTCAATGATACATCCGATAAGGGATTAATATTCAAGATTTATAAAGAACTCATACAACTTAATACCAAAAAAACCCCAGACAATCCACTTAGAAAATGGGCAGAAGACCTGAATAGGCATTTCTCCAAAGAGGACATACAGACGGCCAATAAATATGTGAAAAGATGCTTAAGGTCACTAATCATCAGATATGAAATTAAAACCACAATGAGATACCACCTCACAGCTGTCAGAAAGGCAATCATCAATAAATCAAAAATCAAGTGTTGGCAAGGATGTGGAGAAAAGGGAGCCCTCGTGCACTCTTGGTAGCATTGCAAATTGATAGAGACACAATGGAAAGTAGTTTGGAGGTTCCTCAAAAAACTAAAACTAGAACTACCTTATGATCCAGAAATTCCACTTCTGGGTATTTATCTGAAGAAAAATAAAACACTAATTTGAAAGGATATATGCACCCCTATGTTTGCTGCAGTGCTTACAATAGCCAAGACATGGAAGCAACCTAAATGGCCATCAAGAGACGACTGGATAAAGTGGTACACATATACAATGGAATATTACTCAGCCATTAAAAAAGAAAACTTACCATTTGCAATGACATGAATGGACCTAGAGAGTATTATGCTAAATGAAATAAGTCAGACAGAGAAAGACAAGTACCACATGATTGCACTTATACGTGGAATCTAAAGGACAAAATAAACGAGTAAAATGGAAACGAAATCATAGAAACAACAAATGAGTGACTGCCAGATAGGAGTGGGGTGGAGGGCTGGATGAAAAAGGTGAAGGAATTAAGAAGTACAAATTAGTAGTTACAAATAGTCATGGGAATGTGAAGTACAGCATAGGGAATACAGTCGACAGCACTGTAATATGTATGCATAGTGCCCGATGGATGCTAATCAGGGGGATCACTTCGTAAATTATACATATGTATGACCACTATGCTGTACACTGGAAACTAATATAAAATATTGAATGTCAAATTTAATTGGAAAATAAAAATTTTGAAAATTTTTTTTATCTTAAGCTCAGGGTTATAAAGCCTTTCCATTCATTCAATCAACTATAACTAAGCTTGTCATGGTGCTTTATCTGCAGAGAATAGAGTTGAGCCAGAGAGATCCTGTTTTCAATGAACTTATAGTGTAGCAGGAGAGATGTAATAAATAAAAGTGTATAAATTATTAATTGCTCTTTGAGGACAGAGAATTACATAGTCTTTCTATAAGCCCAGTACTCACAGAAGACATTTAATTTCTGAGACAACACAGCTATTGCATGTTTCTGATCCTGGTTCCACCATTTCCTAGCTATGAAACCACTGACAGGTGATTTAATCTCTTTGCATCCAATTCCTTATTGTCAAATGTTGACAACAGTACTAACCTCTTAAGGTCAAAAGCATGAAAGCATAAACGGTTAAGTGCTCATAAATATTATTTAGTATAGTTATCGTTAACATTTCTGACTTTTGTAAACTGAAACAAAATTTTCTCCATTCACTCAATTATTCAAACATGGTACAAGACTTATTTATTAAAACCAAGTTACTTTCTATGTCAAATAAATTTCCTACATATAAATGTAGCCAATTCTATCCTGAAACCCATAGGTGTCTCACACAAAATTTTATGTCTCATTCTGAATCTCAAATACAAAAATGTTGTTACCCATCTCTGAGATACACACTCCATTCAGTAATATTACCTGTGAAAGTTCAGGGCTTTCAAACAAAGGTGTCAAAAAACAATATTAAATAGAATTACATATGACAGCAAACTAAAAATTGAGTTTTGGAGAGGCAATATTTACTAATCTTACACACTTAGCCGAGAATTCTCAAGAGTACTCTAAGGTCAAGATTTACATTATCAATTGGACATACCAGTAAGGTAACCGAGTGGAATGCAAAAGAGAAACGACAGATTTAACTACACAGAACAAAGAAAAGATAAGACAAAACTCTTTTAAGAGAAATAGCATTAAAAAGAAATGATATTTTGAATATACACGATTTGCAAGTCTGCATGAAGATACATAGAAATTTTATCTACTTAAAATATATTCATTTTTCTATCCTAACCCAAGGTAATGGCTGTTAAGATTTTATGGCCAGTTATCAGTGGGGCTCAGAAAATTTCTTGGCAAACTGATAACTCAAGTTGCAGCTCTGTCACAAGGTTGAGTAACTCTGAGAGATTCTTACTGCTTTCCCTAAATTTGTTTCATCATTTTATAACAAAATTAAGAAACCAGCATCATTCTGATTCCAAACAGTACTGATTATGTGCTATAACTACAGTGCTTAAAAATTACTTACAAAAAACTGACTTCCCTGAAGAGCAGGGTGCCTGAAGAGAAAATAGACAGGAAAATCAAAATTCGAACGACACAACTAACAATTTTAAAGAAGTAACTATATGCCAGGCACTGTAAACTATACGTGTACTACCCCATTTCACCTTCCAAAGATGCCTAAGTGGTAGGTTCTATTACTCGCATTTTTCACTTAATGAAACAAAAAACTCTATGAGTTTAAGTGGCTCGTCCTAGGTAATCCCAGCAGATGGCAGAACTCAGACAATCTCACTACAGGTGCCAAACTCTTCATTATCACATAAGGCTGTTTCTCCAGCTTTGCCACTACCTACCTATATGCGCTTGGGCAAGTCATGCCTATCCCCTTGGGCCTCAGTTTCTCTACCTGAAAATGAGAAACGTGTCCTAGAGATTTAAGGTCGCTTCCGCGTCCTAAGTGCTAAAAGACCATACGTTACGCACGGGGGAGGGGAGGAGGCTGAGGTTGGGACGCATTCGTGGCTCAGGATGTCACCTCAGCTCCACTCCACCGGGAGCCTCCAAGGCTTCCGCCTCGCTCCAGTTCTATTACCGCATTCAGAGTGAGGCGCTCCGCGGAACAAGGACGCCGTGCACCCAACAGGCATTCAATAAGGGTGCGCCTATCCCGCCCCGCGCGGCAACCACGACCCGAGCCCAGCGGAGTTACCCGTCCATTACATCCAGGTGCAGATAATCGGCCCCAGAGTCCAGCATTCGGAGGCACTCGGCCCCTAAATTGGCCAGGTCGCTGTTGAGGATGGACGGGCCAATCCTGCAGCCAGACGCCATGGTGCTGGTTCCCAAGAGCAAGTTACCCCACGAGTCCCCGGGAAAGACGAAGGCATCGCCCCGATTGGTCGCGTAGTTTGGGCCCCGCCTCTTCTCCGTAGTCTTCCGGATTCCGCCGGAAGTAGCTGCCCAGCGAAGAGGAAGTCCTGCTTTCTCTCGGGGGATGGGCATAGGGGCGGAGCTTTGCTTAAAGGTCTTTTCCTTCTTCCTCTGACTTTTTTTCAGAGGCCTTTAAGGGTCCTCTCAGAACTCGAGGGGTTTCTTAATCTTTTACCGCTTTACACTCCTTATTGTTCCCTTTCCTCAGCTCTTGGGCTCGCTTCACTTTTTCTTTCTCCATCGTTTTCCTTTTCAGTTCCTAGTACCCTTAAACACAAACCAAAAACCTCTTGCTCCTTATTGCTCTTTGAACTCTTTAAGAGCTGGAAGAGCCACACTTAGAGTGGAATCCTAACTCTGCCAAATACTAGTTGGGTGGCACAAAACAAAATTAATTTCAAACTACACAAAGAAATAAAAAGCATTTGAGCAAAAGGATCTGCACACCAGAAAACACTCAGGTAACTACCTAAATTATGTTCTACTGAGAGCAAGGGGAGGCTGCCTTTTATAGTGAAAGTTCACACTTTGGTTCCCAATTAGGACCGGCTTATGTAAATAAGGTATCCAAATTCAGTACTTCTGATTGGTCTGAACCTTGTAGTTCTGATTGGTCAGGATTATGCATCCTGATTGGTTGTTATGGAGCAGTTCTGCTTGGGCTTGGCGGGTCTTAGTCCATGGTTCAAAAATCGTAGCCGGGAACTCAATTATAATAGTTGACTCAGCCTGAGTAAATAAGTAGAGGACAATGTGGGAAGCCTCCAGTTCCATCTGAGTTTCTACCTGGAATACAGAGCACCTGAAAAGCTCCTGTCAGCAATTGGCCACTAGGCTCTTGTTATAAAATTTGGGTCCTCTGTTGATCATGGGGTTCCATCTCAGCAGATAATTCCTTCTCAGGGTTCACATGAAATGAATCTTGTTCATGGGGTCCACAGTGGCCTGGCAAGTCACCTCTCCCTGCCTCATCTGTTAAAAGTGCGCAGCATTTAGGGTTGTGTGGATTAAATAAGCAAATCCAGGTAATGAGCTCAACACATTATTCCTGCAACTCAGAAATAAATGATGGTGATTATTACTACTCTCCTATGCTTCTGGCCCTCCTCTCTTCTCTTTTGTTTTTCCCTCTCTGGAATGCTCACTGACAAATTGTATATGTTTATTTACTGTTCAGACGTAATCCAGAAGAGGTGTAAGAGTGTCTATCTCTCTCCCAAATGTGTCTGGGGTCACTGAGTCAGGAAAATACATGAAATACAACCACATGAGGAAACAAATGGATTTAGCAAGAGTATACCTTAGAGAGTAAAGATTGGCAATTTGTACTCTATATAAAAGACAAAACTGGTAGTAACTTGTATCTTCTGATCGTTTTGGCCACATTGAAAGGACAATTAGGTCCTTAACGTTTTTCCTGGTAAATCTACCAGTCATTCCAGCAGGTAATAACCTGGGCAGAGAAATCAAGCTGGGGTATCTGTCTCTCAAAATGCCTGTTCTGCTTTATTTTTAAAGTTAAGTGTGGAAGCCCTGAGTAAAATGGAACTCAGTTGGGGCTGGAGGGAGGTACTGGAGGTGTCTAAGTGAAGGGTGAGCTCAGGCTAGACTAAGGGGAGTGAGAAGAGACATCAAAGCACATCCCAGGGATACAAAAAGAACACTTTCCTGAATGAGTTAACCTATTCCCTATGTTATGAAATGAGAAATGAAACTTAATCAGGCATCTTAAATATTTTTAATTTATTTTATTCCATGTGCATATTCAAACACAGAATTAATATCTTTCATAAATATCTTTCATAAACATTTCAGTATTTACTCATATGCATTTTTTCCATGCTCTTTGGTCATTCAGTATTCATAACTTCATAGTCATCTGAGGGAAGTTGGCTGTATTGATTAATCATTTGTTTTTACCTATAAAATGGCTAGTAAAGGATTTTCATCCTGCAGTCACAGTGACTCTTAAAAAATACTATGGAGGTACATTGATCTGTAATGCTAAATAATCCTAAAATAATATAAGTAAATTTGTCTTAAGCTTTTCCAAATACATTCTGCCCTCGTTTTTATTCTCCTGAGTGTCAAATCAAACTGTTTCTGAATTGCTGCAGTTGAGGCTCATTTAATTAAATGAGGAAGTGGGACTTTCTACTCACTGCCAAGGACAAGGCCACGGAATTGGAAGTGTGAGGTCACAGGGCAATGGCATGACTTGGTGTGATAGAAGCAAATTCTGGAGACTATTAAAATATCCTGTATAACCTCGAGGAAGGGGATTTGTGTTTTGGACTGTGATTCTATTAATGAGCCTTTCTTTCCTGTAGGTCCGTATACACAACCTATTCTCCTCTCAGATACTGTTAGAGATGGAAAGCAGAGTGGAGAATGTTCTTTGTTGACTAAAGGAACAGATACTAAAGAAGGTAGGAGATGTCACCCTGCCTTAGGTACTCTTAGAAGGCTGAAATAGCAAACCAGTTACTTCTAGCCCGACACCCAAACACCACAGACTTTTTGCCCCCAACACTGCCATGCCCAGTTATGCCTTTTGACGCTGCCTTGTCTCAGTGCACTCAACAATCCAGTTCCTTTTTTTGGAAAAATCAAATTATTTATCTAATAGAAATATAGAAAGCAGCAAATACTGAAAAATAAAAGTAAAATGTTTTGCTATAGAAAATGCTGTATCCAGGATTTGAACTGCTTTAATTAATCTGAGTAGTATAAATCTATACCCACTATCATGGATAATACACATTTATTACAATTTCTCTCAAAAGTTAATTTCAGAAGAATCAACCTCTTGGCTGAGTTCATTTTTTTTTTACATGGGGAGTAGGTGTCTTTTAATTTTCTTCTGAACAAGAAAAATACCATTAAGCATCATAGCTTAAGAAATGACTAGTATTATCAATACAATTAGCATTTGTAATAATTTAGTCATATACTCAATAATATTTTGAACATTACAAAAAATTATTAAATATCTTGAATTGTTTTGAATCTTCCTCTACTGTTTTTTTTAAAATAGTTATTCCTTCAAACTCCAGGCAACAGTATTCCTGAGAATACATATTGTGACAATCTTATGCACATACATATAGATACTTATCAATTACACATAAACATTCAACACATTACATTCAACACATTTAAGGGCACCTTAAATGGAACAGATGCATACATCTGCAAAATCTCAGTAGTCCCAGTATGAAAACATTCCCACTCTGTAAGGCCCTGCTTCTCAGAGGGGAGAATTTTTCACAAGGTACAATAATACTTAGCTTATTGGAAAAGTTTCCAAAGGACCTCCATAACACTAGAGTGAAGGAGTCAGGCTAAAAGGCAGACTCCTAATTATGTTGAAAACTTCCCAATATTTTTAAATATAAAGGTATTTAGGGTTCTTGTCAGATACTTAACAATCTTCTTTGACTCTTTTACTTTTTAAATATTTGATACAATTATACATAGAGAATTTAAATCAAGAATCAAGACACTGGAACAAAGCACACACATATAGAGAGACTCATATAGCCCAGACACTTGTAATTACCAAACGTAAGGCCTCTAACACTAATTTAGCAGCATAATTTTAAACAGGCAAAATACATCAGCTTAGAATCATAAAATCACTTATATATATATTTCTGCACTCGAGAATTAATTCAGCATTAAGCGTCAATGTTCTGAAAATATTGTAAAACATAAAAGAAGCTTCTATATTCTGAAGCTCTATTTTCTGAAGCTTTAGATTTAAAATGTTTAGTTTTGTCCATTGTCTTTAACTCATATATATCTGTTCATTCTCTCAGTAAATGGAACCAAAACCCCAAGTTATATTTGAAAGTATAAATCACAGTATAAACAATGCCTATTTAATAAGCAATTCTAACAGAAAAATAATTTTCCTTTGTGATTTGGGTGGGTTTAGTAGGTCTCCTCTATAGATACATATACTTTCTATAGTCATCATAGTCAAAGTTTAAGCGTACAGATGTATTTTAAATTCATTGCAATGTAATAAAAATCTGTATTTGACTTCAGCTGGAGGACTAGAAAACACACACACACACACACACACACACACACACACACACACACACACACTCAATCCCCCACCATACCAATTTAGGTATGTATATGAGTTTTTATACACTTAGAAGTTATGTAATAGTTTTCTAATGTAAACTGTCAAAATTTTGAAATTTAATTTTGAATTATATGATACTAAGCCCTACTATAACATCAATAACACAATACATATGGCCTCTCAAGCCTAAGTTTAATACTTTTCTTGAAGTAACTGAACTTCAAGTTAAAGTAAAATTCACAAGCTGACTGTGTCTAAAAAGAGATTGCTCACATTAAATTTTTTCCCTCATAAACTTAAAGTATCATAAGAATATTAACATTGAGAAGTTATTTTAGTGAACCTATTCTAACAACAATAACCTTAATATCTGAAAATATGCCCTCGAGGGCAGGCACAAGATACTGTCAGGAAAGTAATCACATTTTCCCTATATCTCCTATTCTTGGCATTTATGTAGGGCTAGAAGTAGGAATACCATCTCTTTCTAGCTATTATATTTACATTTAGTTTGTATCGTAGTATAGGCTGTTTAGGTTCATCTTAAATCAGAATTATATCTGATAATTTCTAGAATATTCTCTCTCTAATGTGATTGATTATGAATGGAATGATCTTATGGCATCAGCATTTTGATTTACAACATGCAATGAAAATGTTGGTTGAAAAATAAATATTGAAAAGTCCACAGCTCTAAAAATAGTATTTTTTCTCTTTTTCTAAATGGCTGTATTGTTGATCAAAACAAAAATGGCTGCAGGATTACTTAACATTTAGTTTCCCCAAACTAATATTTTCCTTATTATTTTTATGTAAATTCTTACTTGCACAGCCACCCAACTTAATATTTCAAAACTATAAAAATAAATGTTTG